CCATTTAGGGATCTGGGGCAAAAATCTGGGGATTGGTCCTGCTCTGAGCAGGGGGTTGGACTAGATGACCTCCTGAGGTCCCTTCCAACCCTGATCTATGATTCTAGATGAATGTAGGCCAGGCAAACCACAACGAAGGTCCCCATTGGAGGAGATGGGTGCATGTGACCTTGGGTTGGGGGGGGATAGAAGTGGGTGTTTTGGGCAACCTCAGAAGAGAGTGCAGGGATTGGCCAGGTCTGAGGCCCATTCCCAAGGGCAGCGTGTAGCAGGCAGTTTGCCCTGTTGCTACTGCACAGCCTGTTCTGTGCAAAGACGCCTTTGGTCTGCAGGGCTGTGAAACCAGCTCTAAATTCACACGCACGTGATTCAATTTAATCTGCGCCAATTTCTTTCCAGCCCCTTCCAAATGAGAATCGCAGAGAGCTTCATGGCCATTCGTGAATTAAACCTTTCAGTCAGTCCCTCACTGGAACTAACCATCCCCATTTCACATATGGGGAAACCGAGGCATAGAAAGCAGATGTCACTTGCCTCAAGCACTCAGAGGTGGAAGAACTTGGGTCTCCTGCCTTCTACCCCTGAACCTTCCCTACAGGCCCCCTCATCTTTTCTCCTTCGACCAGGCTTCTGCTAACAGGACCCTGACGGGTGCTGCTAAAGTAGCAGCAGGATTATTTTTTTTTCCACTCAGAGCAAAGCGGTCTTGTTATCCAAGAATTCCGTGTCGGTGGCCCAAACTCCCAGGCGCCGCTGCAAGCAAACACTGCAGCTTTGTCACAAGAACAATGTTTCCAAGGCAGGATTTCTCACCCCCTCATCCCAACTGCTCGCTGCCGCCACCGGTTCCACCCTTTGTTTTGACTGAGGAGTGTTGCAGTTGGCAGGATCAAGGAAACCATTGATGCTAATACTGAACAAAGCAGCTCCACTCCACGAAGGGTGTGCAAGAGGGGGCCGTAGAAGCTGAACTAACAGGTCTAACTGGCGCATCCCACTTCCCAGCATTAATGCTTTGTCCTGCCTAGGGTTGAGTGTCCCAAACAAGGGAGCTTTCCTTGTGAGCCTTGGCATTGGGAAGAAAGACGGTTACTCATCCCTTGCAGCTGCCTCTCCTGGTCCCTGGTGATCTCTGGTAGGATGGATTGCAGGCAAACAGGTGAGAACCAACAGATACACCCTGCACACATGTTGCTTTGTTTTTTACCTTTCAAGTTCTGCTGGGGGTTGCTTAGAACAGTGGCTCTCAACGTTTCCAGACGACTGTCCCCCTTTCAGGAGTCTGATTTGTCTTACGTACCCCCAAGTTTCACCTCACTTAAAAACGACTTGCTTACAAAATCCGACCTAAAAATACAAACGTGTCACAGCTCACTGTTACAGAAAAACGGCTTGTTGTCTCATTTTTTTACCATATAATTATAAAATAAATCAATTGGAATATAAATATTGTACTTACATTTCAGTGTGTAGTATATAGAGCAGTATAAACAAGTCATTGTATGAAATGTTAGTTTGTACTGGTTTCGCTAGCGCTTTTTCTGTAGCCTGTTGTAAACCTAGGCAAATATCTAGAGGAGGTGATGTACCCCTGGAAGACTCTGCGTACACATGCCCCTGATTGAGAACCACTGGTTTAGAAGGACCTGGTCCTAGGAGGCTGGTCCTGTCTGATCTGTGTAGCCTTTGGTCAAGCCAGGACCGTACAATGGTAGCATTATTTATTGGTATTGTGGTAGCCCCTGTCACCGACCAGGACCCCATCGTGTGCAAGGTGCTGTACAAACGGAACAAAAAGATGATCCCTGCCCCCAACCTGTGTCTAACATTTAGAAAGACATCTTTTATTGGCCCAACTGCTGTTGGTGAACAGAAGGGACTGGTGTGACTATAACAACACTGCATACATCTAAAATGTATGAATTTCACAGCTCTCTCTACCTGGGATAATAGTACAGTGTGCTTCCCAGGGCAGGAGCGTAGTGTTTTCTGCCCTCTTCCCTTCCGTCTTCCCATGAGATGGGTGTTCTCCTCCTCGTATAGACGGGAAAACTGAATCCAAGTGCCCTGTATTTAGACTGTTACCGTGTGGACATTCTGGTGCATTTGCTCACAATGAGATGATTCTAGGAACAGATGCAGCCTAAATCTGTGGGACTAGCTGTAGGCCTTGCCTGGTCACTGGGGAGAAGGGTTCACCTCAGTCTCACCCCATCTCTGAGGAAGGAAGGACTGGAGAGAAAATCAGGTACGTGGGCTCTGTGGAGACTGGCCCCAACAATGGCCAGTTGCAGTCATGGCAGCAGGACACAGAGACTTCAGGGATGAAGGTGCCTTTGTCCACTAGGGGTCAGGCTTTCCCGGGTGCTGGGTGCCAGCAATTTCCAATGATGTCCCTTGAAGTATTGGGTGTTTGAGGGAGACACACCAAGACCATTGTAGAGCTGGCCCGGGCCCGCCGCTCCGTTACACCCGCTCCAGGCTGGATTGAAAATGGATCCTGAGGCTGGAAGCCTCCATTGGCTCCGAGGTCACCTCTCCGCGGCTCTCCATGTGGTGGTGTGAATTGAATTGCGCTGTGGCTCCTCCGAAGCAGCGTGCGGGCCCGTCGTCCTCGCGCTGGGCCTGATTTTTACTACAGCCCGTGGCAGCTGCTGGTACTGGCTCATCTTTGGAAACCTGCACAAAGGTCCCGGTGTCACCTGTTTGCTTAACAGGCTGTGGTCGTGTTTACTGAACCGGCCAGAATATGGAAGAAAGGGCACGATCACAGACAGAGCCAAGGGACACGCCCCGGGGCCTGCTGGCGGCTCTCGCTCGGGAAACCTTTCGTGCTAAATGAGGGCTAGCGGGATCAGTGCTAGAACGGTCTGAAGAGCAGCCAGATGCTGCAATGTGCGTGTGTGGTCAGTAGGGGGTGCTCGTCTCTCTCAAGTAATGTCCCTGTGCACCACCAGGGCTGAGATGCGGGACCAGGGATCCTGAAAATCAACAAGGCCTTAATTGTCTGTGCATAGAGACCTCCAGGGGACTATTTTTTAATCTTGTTCCCGGTATTATGGCAGGATCCCAGTCCCGCTGCAGGGTTCTGCTTGCAAGCTTTAAAAACCTTCCTGCTAGCTTGGAAGGTTGGAAATTAATCTGGTATGTTAGCGGCCAGGGTAGGTTCCTCATCTCCCCTCCCCCCGAGGAGAGACCTGGTCCATCCGACAGCCCACCCCTATCCTGAAGGACCCAATGCATTGAGTAGTTGGCCAAGTGCATCCGACACCTGGATGCATCTGGTCTGGTTGAGGGTCCAGCGGAGGCATCCTCCACCCAGCCAGGCCTCTTCTGTTGGGCAGCCTGCTCCATCCAGACGTGGCTGGTACGTTGTCTTGCTCCCCATGCACCTGGCGTGCTTGGCAGCAGTCGAAGGGTTAACACACTGGCACCAGCAAGGCGAAGAAGGGACAGTCCCAGAGCTGGGAGCTGATTCGGAGGCAGGCGGTGGCTGGACTCACTATTTGGAGAAGGCAGCATCGTGTGGGCAGGGTGATGTCATAGAGGCCTGAGTCACTGCTGCAAAAGGTGTCACCTCCATTGTCCAGCCCTGCCCAAAGCCGTCCTTATCACTGCGCCCAGGTGGGGCCCTGACTGGCTTGTCACCTCACATGGCTTGTGTGTAGCCGCTGCAGACGCGGACCTTCCCTGGGTCAGGCTGGGCTGAGCCTGCAGAGCTTTGGAGACTGCCACGGGGGCCTGACCATCATGGCAGTCAGCGATAATTCGCCCTGTGTCTCCCGCGCCTTCCGCTGGAGGATCTCAGAGTGCGTTGCCCACGCTCCTGAATGAAGCCCCTCGCCCAGCCGGGGAGGTAGCTCAGTGTCACCCCCTCTCCGAGCTGCAGTTTCCCCAGCTGTAAAATGGGGACAGGTCATCCCCAGAGTCCTCCAGGGAGTAAGTGGCAGAGCTGGGAACAGATGCCCACTCCTGCTCTTACCATTAGATCCCACTCTCCTGCAGCCAGGAATTCAATTCAGGAGTCCTGGCTTAGTCCCCTCCGGCGTGAACCGTGAGGTCACCTCCCTATCCCTGCGGACAATGACATGGGGGTGCTCAGTGCTCTCTAACTTCCCAGGGGTAGCCGTACTGGTTTGCAGATCTTGGCTCCAGGGAAGCCAATTTCCCATCTGCAGGGGAGAGCTGAGCTCCCCCAGACAAGCACCACCTTTGGGGAGCACTGTCAGCTGGGGGGGTGGGGGAGGGAATGCTGATCTCAGTTGCCATCTGCAGGATTCTACTCCCCCTTAGCACCATGCTGGGCTCTGTATGCTCCCTTTCTGCAGCACCTCCTGTTCTCCCCAGGTCTCCCGTCCCCACCCGGCTTCGCAAGGCCTGCCTGAATCGCTGCTCTAGGCTGGGTGACTGTCAGGTTAGGTCTATACAGCAAGGAGACGCCCGGGCCAGCCGACACGGGCCTGTGTCCCTGCTGTATAGACCACTGCTCCAGCACCCTGCCGGGCGGGAGACCACTTTCTCTGCGGGGCTCCTCTGTCTCTGCTGGGCACCTCCCAGGGAGGCAGGTGACGGCGGCCCCCTTCTCGCAGGTGGGGAAACTGAGGCACCCAGCCAGTAAAATCAGAGGCAGGATGAGACCTCAGGACTTCCCCATTCCCAGCCTCCTGCTCGTCCTCCAGGAAGCTTTTTGGGGCGGGGGGAGGGGGGGTCCAGGCTTCACCCTGGGTATTTTGCAGCCGTCAAAAGGCAGCCGCTTGCTGCTGAATCAAAGGTCCCTCCGCGGTGGCCGCCTCTGTCTTCCGGCGGAGCCCCGCTCGGTTCAGCCCCGTTGGGGACGGGGACTGGGAAGGCGAGAGGCTGGCGCTGGAGGAAGGTGCAGGAGCAGATGGCCCCGAGGGTGAAGGGTTAACAGCGGGGAGGATCCGAAGCGCTGGGCGGGTCCCGGCTGTTTGATTCGGAGTGAGCGAGGAGACGGGGGAGGAACCTGCAAGTTGCGAAGAAGCGAGGCTGGGAGCAGGAGCTGCGGGAGGGGAGGAGGAGGGGGGTCGCCCACGCCCTGCCCCTGGGGTCCTGCCGGGGCATAGCGGATCCGCAGCCCCCCCGGGGGAGCAGCCGCCCCCAGCCCAGCAGGTACGTTCCTACCGCCGCTTTTCACCCATCACCTGCAACAGGTGCCAGCCCGCCCGTGCCGACCCCTCCGGGGGCTGGGCCAGGTGCGTCTCTCCACCTGGGCTGGGGTCGCTCCGGAGCATGGGCTCAGCCCCTGCCCTGCCCTGCGGCTTCCTGGGTAACCTTTGCCCCGTGCTTTGGTGTTAAAAAGGGCAAGGGAGAGGCGAGTTGGCAGCCTTCTCCTGGGCTAGTTAAAGCAGCGGTGTGGCCTGAAGGGAGCTGCTCCCAGTGCAGCCCTTCCCCCAGGGTAAGGGGAACGAGCTAGACCCAGCACCTGCGTCCACACGAGTGAATGGATCTAATAATAGCAGTCGACAATCACACCCCGGCCTACCAACAGAGCTATGCCAGGACCAAATCTGTGTGTAGACCAGACCTTCCCGTCTGTCCCAGCTCTGAATTCTACCACCTTAAGCCCCTGCGTGGCGTGCCCTGCCCTCCAATTTTAGCTATGTGGGTTAGGAGTGTGATTTTATCATGATCATTATTATCAATTCTTTTATTTTACCAACAAAGCTATGCTGCTAACAGCCTCAGCATAGACCCTGTTACAGCAGCGTACTGGTATAAATGCAGTTAGAACTTATGCTGCTGGGGGGGGAACCAGCAGAAGCTATTCGGGGACAAGCACTCTTAGTAACTGTGTCCACACTAGAGAGTTTTCCCATACTGGAGTCACTCTACTTGACAAAACCCTCTAGCATAGGGAAGGCCTCAGCAACAGGGCTGCCCAGAGGAGGGGGGGCAAGTGGGGCAATTTGCCCCAGGCCCCGAACGGGCCCCCACGAGAATATAGTATTCTATAGTATTGCAACTTTTTTTTATGGAAGAGGCCCCCAAAACTGCTTTGCCCCGGGCCCCCTGAATCCTCTGGGCAGCCCTGCTCAGCAGATGTCAGATTTTTCTCCTGTGGAAGCAGCGGCAGCAAATCCCATCTGGAGGGCTGGAGCGTGTGGCTGTTTGGTTATATTGGAAGTTGTGGGTCAGCTTGGAAAAGTGACCGTGGAAATATGGCAGGTCTGCGGCTTGTGCGTATCAGACTTTAGTGACAAATGACAATATAGACCCATGAGCCCTGCAGAGCCAGCCTGGTTCTGGGTGCAGGAACTCTGGGGTATTCTATTTCCTGCATGATCAATCGAATTGCTTCCTCTGTTCCCCTGGAGTCACACCTGGCCGGCCCCCATTGAAGGCTGGGGTGTTGCTGAGGGCAGAATTGGGGTGTTGAGGTGCAAGGTGGAAAGAATCCGGGCTCTGACTCTCAGATCCCCAGCTGGGTTTGCAGGGCTGGGTGTTTGGGGTGGGGGGAGAAAAGGAGAGGGGAGATCCCTTTGCTACAGAATCCTGGGAAGGTAATTTCATGGAGCCCACAGCATCATTTTTAAGAACTACCTCTCAGGGGAAAACCTGGCCCTGAACTCGCCCTAGGGGAAGCTGCCCCATCCCTTTTACAAGTGATTCTCCTCTGGAACCCATTTGCTTCTAATGGTTGCAAACTGCTGGCTGAAAGGCCCCATACAAGTGCAAATCTACTGCTGCTGCTGGACCAAATTCATCCCTGCGTCACCTGGCTTCCCCGGAGTCATGGCCGGGATGCACTTTGGCCGAGGGTGTTTGAAGTACATCTCCCCCTGCCCCAGTAATGCAGAGTATTGATCTTGGCTCGTTTCCTGAGGATGGCTTGCAGTCACAGAGTGTTATTCAATCCGGGGGGAGGGGGCTGTTAGCGTTCTAGCATAGAGCACAGGGCCCTCACCCCTTGCATGTACGGGGTGTGTGTGTGGGGGGGAGATGAGTGGGGCCGATCTCAGCACCCATTGTAGAAACAGCCCCAACAACCAAGAGGCCACAGAGCCCAGGTTCAATGTTTCGGTCGAAACAGTTTTCCAGCCAAAAAAGGCCATTTTGACGGCGCTGAACTATTTTGCCGAATTGGATCTGTTTCGATGAACTGTCGTTCAGGAAACCAATTTGGAATTTCTTGGGGGAAAATGCCGCAACATGTTGTTTCAAATGAAAAGTTTCCTTTTTTTTTTTGGCTCCAAAACGTCTTTGCCTTTTGAAATTCACTTGATGCTGTATAACCGTTTCAAACGGTCACATCAAAACGTTTCATTTCAATTGACCTAGAAGGATTTTTCCCCCCCCTGAAATTTGGTTACAGAAAAACGTCCGAATGTTTGGCTTTGGGACCTGATTCAGAATGGAAAGAAATGTTAAGCTTGAACTATTTCACTGGATGGGTCTGACCAGCTCTACCTCCAATGGGCCATGGAGCCTGAATTCCCCTCTCATCCCCCACGGGGTCCTTCTACCGTGGCAGCGAGACACATTGGTCCATAGGGTGGGCAGCTTGCCCTGTCTTTACCTGGGCTGGACCTATGCTGTGGATATCCATCTATCTTGGATGGTTTAGACACAACAAATCCTGCATCTTGGCAGGGGATTAAACTAGATGACTCTTGCGGTCCCTTCTAATCCTATGATTCTGTGACCTGGTCCATTGCCTATTGGGGATCTTCATTGGGGGTGGATTGGACCCATATGGACGTCCCACGTCTGCAGGTTTTCGATCCCACCCCAGCCCTCAATACGCTCAGGGCCTGATCCAACATGTGCTGAAATCCAATGGAAAAACTCCCGCTGACTTCAGACTTGGGCTTTGGATCAGGGCCTTAATAAGATTTTGATCCCCTCTCCCCCAGGAACTTGATTCTTTTCTTGCTGGCCTAAACAGCGCCTGGGTTTGTACTTGGGGGACTTTCCCCTAATCCAGAAAATTCAGCACTGAAAGGAACGTAAGAATTGCCAGACTGGATCAGACCCAAGGGGAACCCCACAGTAGTGGATGTGAGATAATCTGCCCCCCAACATCAGGTCTTATCCTGACCCCAGCCAGAGCCTGGCTTGACCCTGAAGCGGTTTAATATCCCTTCCACAATCTGCTTGTATTCGCTATCCTAGCTCTGGGTAGTCTTGCTAGCTGTATAAGTGTCCAAGCCCCCTTTGAATCTTTTTTGCCTTCAGAGTCCTCCTGTGGCCATGAGTTCCACCGTCTAACTGCGTGCCGCCCAGGGGAAAGTATTTCCTTGTATCGGTTATGAACTTGCTACTGTTTAATTCCATCTACTTGTTCCTATGTCAGGAGACAGGGAGGAACTGGATCCTGTGGGGGGAGGGGATTCCAGTGGCACGTGAGGCCGGCCCATTTAGCAAGGTCTTGCCCGTCATCTACCCCTATTATGTTGTAAGGATAACAAAGGTGCTCATCAGTTGAGCCCGGAGCTGCAGCTCCAGTAACATGATCCGCGAGCCCCTTTGTCACTGGTAGGCAGGTGGCTGTTGGAATTCTTTGCTAAACATACACACAGGTTCTAAGAGGGCTGGGTGTTGATTTTAGCCCCATTCGTAAGTTACCACTGAGTCCACCACAATCGATTCCTTTCGGGGGGGCCCCCGGGACTCAAATCCTTGCTGTGATTTGAGCTGTTCCGGGATGAATCTAGCAGGCAGCAAGATGCCTGGCTGACTAACCGGGGCTGATCCTAGAAGGAATGTGCAGGGATGTGTCCTGCTTTAGCACGAAGGCATGTCTTCCTGAACCCAGCCTATAAACTCAGCCTGGAGCAACAAAGTTTTATAATGTCTGGCATTTGAAACAGAAGAGCTGCTTTCAGGATGTCCATGCACACGGTGATGTGTTTGGATAGGGGTAGGTTTGAGGCTGTGGCTGTGTCCAGGCATATAAATGACCTACACTATCAAACAGTGTGTTAAGAGCCCTTGCTCTGCTCCACAGGAGAGGATAAGAGTATACTACAGCGACCAGCTGAGGGAGCTGCTCTTGCCGCGCAGGTGGTGTAGTCTTGTGCTTGAAGGTCTGGATTTCAAACTGCATCCCTGAGCCCAACGGGGGTGGTGTGTCTGTGTGTGTCTGTGTACACGGGCGTGTTTATGTAGGGTCTGTGCATGCACCTGTCGAAGGTATTTTGGTGGATGGAGAGAATGTTGCCTAGGCTAGAAAAGGTGCCAGGAAGCGAGCCTGGGAGTGTTGGACAGCTGGCTCCGAATGAGGGGCAGTATGGTGCACTGGTTAGGGCTTGGAAGACATGGGGGTAAGTCCAGGCTCTGCTGTAGACTCCCTGGGTGGCCTTGGGCCAGTGTCTGGGCCTCCGTTCCCCATCTGTACAGTGGAGCTGACAGCAGCTGCCTTGGGTCGTGTGCTAAAGATCACGAGGTTCTGGGGCTGAGTGCTGGGGTTCTCAAATGTGTCCAGCCTGGATGCGGGATGGGCCCTGTTTTCTCTCTTTGGGATCTTGGCCAGAGCCGCCCTGTTTTCAGGCTGTTCCCTGCATGCTGGCACGGCTCCCACCTGCGCACGTTTCGCTCCTGAGCAGCCAGACGCTTCATGACCCGATGCAGGTAGGGGAAGGAGCTGGCAGGGGGGCAGATTGTTTCCCTGGATAAAATAATAATACCCAGCTCCTAGATGGCGCTTTCCATCAGTAGAGCTCCAAGTGCTTTCCCAAGCGGGTCAGTATGGTTAACCCCATTTTACAGATGGGGAAACTGAGGCAGAGGGAGGTGCAGTGACTTGCCCAAAATCACCCAGTAGGCCAAGGGCAGAGCTGGGAATATAACCCAGGTCTGCTGAGTCCTGGTCCAGTGCTCGCCTTGATCCCTTTTAAATTCACAGATTGATTCATCGGACAGGCAGTGGATTCTGTACCGGGATTGCTGGCTTGGGGTGCAAGAATAGATCCACATTAGTGGTATATTTTCTGGGGTAGCAGCGTTCCCAGGAATGGCTTTGTTATTGAGGACCCCATACAAGCTACAGTGGGGTGCCCCCCAAAATAATGTCCCGGTGCTGGAACAGGGGAATTGGATGCATATCTCACTAAGGTCCTAATTTGGCCTCTCTCACTGTAGTCCCTGAGCACCTCACCTCTATTTATCGT